ACAAGTCACTCGCCAAACATCTCAGATTTTGCCCTGTCTGTATGGCGGATATCGAAGACGAATATCATCTGTTATTTATATGTGACGCTTATGCCGATTTAAAAAAGAAGTACATTCCACAAAAATATCTGGGTCACCCTACAAGGGAAACACTTATAAGAATTTTATCATCAAAAGACGAATATGTCGATGTAAAATTAGCCCTGTTTTTAACACATTCGCTGTCTTTAAGGAAGAGTTTAATTTCTCCTGTCAACTAATCTAACAATGTTATGATGCTTTCCACTGTTTGCAATGTCCATACCTTGCCTGTCATTACAATACTATGTATACGGGCCAGAGGCCTTATGTACAATAAACCATCTTGATCTTGATCTTGAACCGCCACCAGTCTACTGGCTACATCTACAGTATCACAAACGCCGTCAGTCTACTGGCTACATCTACAGTATCACAACCGCCGTCAGTCTACTGGCTACATATACAGTATCACAACCGCCGTCAGTCTACTGGCTACATCTACAGTATCACAACCGCCGTCAGTCTACTGGCTACATCCACACTATCACAACCGCCGTCAGTCTACTGGCTACATCTACAGTATCCCAACCGCCGTCAGCCTACTGGCTACATATACAGTATCAAAACCGCCATCAGTCTACTGTCTACATCTACAGTATCACAACCGCCGTCAGTCTACTGTCTACATCTACAGTATCACAACCGCCGTCAGCCTACTGGCTACATCTACAGTATCACAACCGCCGTCAGTGTACTGGCTACATCTACAGTATCACAAACGCCATCAGTCTACTGGCTACATCTACAGTATCCCAACCGCCATCAGCCTACTGGCTACATCTACAGTATCACAACCGCCGTCAGTCTACTGGCTACATCTACAGTATCACAACCGCCGTCAGTCTACTGGCTACATCTACAGTATCACAACCGCCGTCAGTCTACTGGCTACATCTACAGTATCACAACCGCCGTCAGTCTACTGGCTACATCTACAGTATCACAACCGCCGTCAGTCTACTGGCTACATCTACAGTATCACAACCGCCCTCAGCCTACTGGCTACATCTACAGTATCACAACCGCCGTCAGCCTACTGGCTACTACATACTACATCTACAGTATCACAACCGCCGCCATCAGTCTACTGGCTACATCTACAGTATCACAACCGCCGTCAGTCTACTGGCTACATCTACAGTATATCAGTATCACAACCGCCGTCAGTCTACTGGCTACATCTACAGTATCACAACCGCCGCCGTCAGCCTACTGGCTACATCTACAGTATCACAACCGCCGTCAGTCTACTGGCTACATCTACAGTATCACAACCGCCGTCAGTCTACTGGCTACATCTACAGTATCTGAGTCGCAATCCGCCGTCAGTCTACTGGCTACATCTACAGTATCACAACCGTCTACTGGCTACATCTACAGTATCACAACCGCCGTCAGTCTACTGGCTACATCTACAGTATCACAACCGCCGTCAGTCTACTGGCTACATCATCTACAGTATCACAACCGCCGTCAGTCTACTGGCTACATCTACAGTATCACAACCGCCGTCAGCCTACTGGCTACATCTACAGTATCACAACCGCAGTATCACCGCCGTCAGTCTACTGGCTACATCTACAGTATCTACTGGCTACATCTACAGTATCACAACCGCCGCCGTCAGTCTACATCTGGCTACATCTACAGTATCACAACCGCCGTCAGTCTACTGGCTACATCTACAGTATCATCTACAGTACCGCCGTCAGTCTACTGGCTACATCTACAGTATCACAACCGCCGTCAGCCTACTGGCTACATCTACAGTATCACAACCGCCGTCAGTCTACTGGCTACATCTACAGTATCACAACCGCCGTCAGTCTACTGGCTACATCTACAGTATCACAACCGCCGTCAGTCTACTGGCTACATCTACAGTATCACAACCGCCATCAGTCTACTGGCTACATCTACAGTATCACAACCGCCGTCAGTCTACTGGCTACATCTACAGTACAATTATCACAACCGCCGTCAGTCTACTGGCTACATCTACAGTATCACAACCGCCGTCAGTCTACTGGCTACATCTACAGTATCACAACCGCCGTCAGTCTACTGGCTACATCTACAGTATCACAACCGCCGTCAGCCTACTGGCTACATCTACAGTATCACAACCGCCGTCAGTCTACTGGCTACATCTACAGTATCACAACCGCCGTCAGTCTACTGGCCATCTACAGTCACAACCGCCGTCAGTCTACTGGCTACATCTACAGTATCACAACCGCCGTCAGTCTACTGGCTACATCTACAGTATCACAACCGCCGTCAGCCTACTGGCTACATCTACAGTATCACAACCGCCGTCAGTCTACTGGCTACATCTACAGTATCACAACCGCCGTCAGCCTACTGGCTACATCTACAGTATCACAACCGCCGTCAGTCTACTGGCTACATCTACAGTATCACAACCGCCGTCAGTCTACTGGCTACATCTACAGTATCACAACCGCCCTCAGCCTACTGGCTACATCTACAGTATCACAACCGCCGTCAGTCTACTGGCTACATCTACAGTATCACAACCGCCGTCAGTCTACTGGTTATATCTACAGTATCACAACTGCCGTCAGTCTATTGGTTACATCTACAGTATCATAACTGCCGTCAGTCTACTGGCTACATCTACAGTATCACAACCGCCGTCAGTCGCCGTCAGTCTACTATCACAACCGCCGTCAGTCTACTGGCTACCTCTACAGTATCACAACCGCCGTCAGTCTACTGGCTACCTCTACAGTATCACAGTGTGAATGTAGTAGTATCTAGAGCTGCGCTCGCGTGCGTGTGTGTGTGTGTTTTGAGGGGTTGAGTGTTCTCAGTTACACATAATATCGGGGTGGGGTGAGGTGAGGGGATTAATTGATCAGTGCTGGGGGATTATAGTCTGTTGCTGAAGAAATGTCTTCCCAATTTAGGATGCAGCTGAAAGTGCCCCAGCTCAAACTATACCTTCGTGAACTGTAGTCACCTGATGACTGAACTGTGTTTAATGAGTGTCGCGAACATGAATTTTAACTCAATTTATAAGACTGAATGATTTGATTCAAATCAATGAGCTTGGTGAATTTGGGAACAATTACTCAAGTTATTAGACGACTGTTATTACAAGCAGTCAATGGGGCCATGAAAAAGACTGGCATCTTAAGTTACCATGTCAACATGGCAAACGTCAGTGTTCAGATAAACTTCTTTCCAACATCTATAATTGTGGTCGTATATTAGTTCACCACTGCAAATGCAGTTAAATTGGCCACTGGAATATGTTAATGGAAAAAGAGTCTCAGATGTGTATGTGTTCTAAAATGAAAAATGAAAAATGTGTTCAGAAAAAATAATTCAGATTATTTCTATGACATATCCTACCTTATCCGTGTCGGAATTCGCTATACAATCTATGGAATTCTTATGTGGCACATATGCTTATGACATTGTAAAACATGTATTTCTCTTTTGTCCACAAACGGAATGTAACAGAGAGCGACTACTTAGCTCCCTCATTGATCTATTGGATGTTACAACCTTTGTAAGTGTTTGGAATGATGATGATGATGCACTGATTAGTTTTCTACTTGGAGGAGTGCCAAATGACAACATTAGAGATCTTGATACTGCTCTATGGATTCAATGTATGAAAATCGCGAGTACAGCTGTTCATGAATGGAAACGGTTTTTCATCACATGTTACTAGATTCACATCCCCCTATATATACACTAAATGTTTTTGTATTGTATAACTTTCATACACTTGTACCTTGTAAAATGTAATATCTGCTAAATCATGCATATGTATCTTCAATTTTGGAGGAAATGAAGACGATCTATCTATCTATCTATCTATCTATCGTATTTCCAACATCTATAATTGTGGTCGTATATTAGTTCACCACTGTAAATGCAGCTAAATTGTCCACTGGAATATGTTAATGGGAAAACAGTCTCAGGTGTGTATGTGTTCTAAAATGCTAAATGAAAAATGAGTTGTTACAAATGTTAATAATATCTTGCCCATTTTGATCAAGAAATGTGGATCGAAATGTTGAGCATAAAACAGTGTTATTTATTTTAATATAGCTAACTTGTCCCTTGAAATATGTTGGAAAATGATATTTGTATGTTTCTTGAAACATGAAAAAATAGTCAGTGAATGCTATTTGCTGGTATTACATATGTTACAAGTAAATAGTTATACAGTGAATTCATTTCCACCTTAAATTATTTCTTCAATAAAAGACTATAGTCACAGGCCATAGCTCGAAGCCCAGCGGTACACATCTTTGATACAGACTATAACTAATCCCCCTTTAGAGGTGAGGTGAAATTGGGTTTAACGTCGTACTTGAGAATGTTTCGCTCATATGACGACGTGTGTGTATGTGTATGTGCGGCTGCTTGTACTAGCCCAGACTGAAGCTGGTTTTATAGTGCTAGCCCACTGAGATACCATACCGCATTGAAGCATGAATACCCCACTCAGACACATTATACTGACTCCGAGCCGACCAGTCCTTGTTGTACCCATTAATGCCGAGCGCCAGGCAGGGACCAACAAGTACCATATTTTAACGTTTTTTGGTATGACGCGACCTTCCGATCTCCGGGCGGACGCTCTAACCACTACACCACGGAGGCGGCCTCCCCCTTTAGAGATTCCAAGCATGTTAAGGCACACTCTGTTGCACAATCTAGTTTTGAGCTGGCTGAGACCAAACCGTGTGTGTGTGTGTGTGTGTTACATGGTAGGCTGGTACAACGGTAACCATTCCTGAACAAAACTCCAACACCTACTGAACATATTAAAATGAAACACTATAACTGTGGATTGAACCCAGAATTTGAACATGCAAACTCACGAGCTAATTGCTTTTAGTCAGCTGCCATGAAATAATTACCTCAACAAAGAATTATTAAAACAGTGAAAAAATATATTTATTTTGTTTCTTTGCGTATGGATACATACAAACATACAAAATGACAACGATCATGCACAACGAGTTTTGGATGGTATAACACGTCTATCAAATTTGTATGCAAAATAAAATCTATGGAACATTATGATTATAACATAACATTTTGTAAATAATGTATATTTTGATTACATGTGCGTCTCATTAGTAATGTATGCAAAACATTATTAAAACCGCAATGTTACATTAATACATTTGTATTTTAGGTCAAATCATTCACAGGCATTTCATCAATACGATGACAATTTGATGTACATTTGCAATGAACAATAACAAATGAACGCTTGCCTCCAATCTCGAAAAAAACGAAAGGGCTACTAAGGGAACATGAAATCACCACTAAATATCTTAACTTCCCCAATAATTGTAGGCTTGTACGCGTGAATGATCTGATTAAAAAATTGCATTAAACATGCGAGTTTTCTCTAAGGACTACACACAGGGCATTTTGAGCATGATACGCAATTATAAACATTTGCTTCGAGTATGTACAACCTCCTTAACGGGAAAGAGTATTTTTTCAGACGCAAGTTTGTATCTACAACTACTCATTTCACAATTATTGATTGATTGATTGATTTGTCCAGAGAAGTATCTTACACAAGTCGTAGTGCGTATTGACACGCAATGCTTTACAAATGTACATTGATGATATCTACTGATCCCATCTTATCATGATAAAGAATCCTTCTCATGCATAATTAAAATGTACAAATATTTCTTGAAAATATACAGTTTGAGCAAATGAAATGGTAAACGTTTTACGTCATCGTCTTATTTTTAAAGACAATGCTGACTCTAGGATGGGAATGAATGTTGATTGCTCGTCTACGTCCTTAGGTCTAATAAAGGTTCCCTGGATTACAGCGGTACACCGATATCTGAAACAAAAATATTCATTTGTAATTCGTTGAACATGAACATATTGTCCCCAAATACCTCCATACATTTTTATGAAAGTATCACCCCTTCCTCCTAAAACATATTTAACTATATAGGTGAATATTCTTTGTCGGTGGAATATCTTCAATACCAGTTCAAATGTTATAAGATAAAATATTATGGATGTCAACTTTATTATATACACAACGTTTCTGGGCTTTTACTTGCCCCTTCGTCAGGTGAAATGAAATGTTCAAATGTTAATTGCCATACATAGTTATATTCATCAAATATATATTATTTTATCTGAAAAGGATATTTTTCAGAGATTATTCTGAATTTTTGTAAGCTAATCCCAAAGAACACGGATGACAACATCATGGTTTTGTCAATTCAATAATACTGTCAATTGTACTGGGTATCAAGACCAATATGAATGAAATATTACGTATACATGACTACATCACGTGCATTCGACGCCTTAATTCGCTCTTCGTAGCACTTCATTGTCAGTGTATATATCCATGTAGGATGGGTGATCGTGTTTGGCAGCTTGACTCCTGAGAGTTTCTAGGACTTCAGTCTTGCCCCACAACGAAGCACATGTGATACATGTGGTCTCACCTTAGGCAAGTGAGTTTGTTGGCGCTATGAGCATACCTAGTGTGCAGTTTGGCGCTACACAAATGGACACATTATTATCATTATTATTATTGGGTAATTACTTACCGAGTCTAGATTTCCAACAAATCTCTCTGCTGTGCTCATGCTGCCGTCGGAGGCGAATCTCATTCCACACTGCATAATGCTTGTCTCTGGGGCTGTTGAAACAATAAAAACTGCGTCATTCAAAGAACCGACCCACACAGAATTAGACATATTGTTCCAACTGGATAACATGTAGGTTTTTGTTTTTGTGATAACAATGGCACATGAAAAACGATTAAAGATTTAAAGGGTTGTTATCGAAGGTCATCTTGGTTTTCAGATTGTCATGTGTAAACAGGCGTCCTCAGAGTATGGTGACGCAACCAACGCTTCAGCTCATACCTAACAGTAAACGCGGATTTTAATCGGTCATTAAAGATTAAAATGATATTTATATTGAGGAGAGAGCTCAAATTGTACACCTCTCAAAATGACGTCTGGGACATTACGTCAAGAGTGAAGGTCAGCAATTCATGTGACCCAAAACAACACAAAGGGCAAAGGGAACTAGACACGTGGTTCTGTTATTGCACTTACCAAATTGTTGCTGCATATATTTCAGGTTTGCTGACTCGACAACTCCAGTTATCATCTTGCCGTCATACACCATGGTGACGGTCTTCCACTCAAAGGTACTGAAACCCTGCAATGAAAGGTAAAACGTAAATCACATGGATCAACCATAGAGTGAATTGGGATTCCTACAATGCAGTTCGAGCACTGTCTTAGTTTGGTTTAAGAGTTAAGAAGTTTTTTAAATCTCCTGCAATGTCGAGTTTAAAGAAAAAATGAGAGGTATGCTTTGTTTTTATTTATACACGTTTTTATCTATGTATTTGATTCAGCTAGTTACTGTCTTTTCATTGTCAGAGACACAGACACACACTCACAGCGAGAGACACGGGCATGTTGATCAGTTGACCATAGACAGACGTCAGCTCAAAGATGACTGAGTTCTGGTCAATGGCGATGACCAGGGTGTTGCTCTTGTAGCAATCGCTCGTGGACACTAGGATACGACGTCCAATGATGGCCTGACTTTCACTGAACCGGAAGCGGACAATCAACGGGCAGTCGACGGCAGGAGCCTTCTGGGAGATGTTGAAGAACATGTGTCCGATGCCATTGAACATTGCATAGCCGTCCAATATTCTCACGTCTTGTGCACTCAACCATGATGCCCGGGCCGTTGTCAATGCGTTGGCGTTGTTGAAGTCGAGGGTGTAGTCGGGGGTGCAAGCTAAACATGGGAGACAAATATAGATAATGTATTCATGTGACGTTATAAATTTGAACTTTCAATTTTCGGATATAAAATCCATTTGCAATGACCACTGATAGTTAACAACACTCTTCTAAAACCCATAAACGTATGAAGTTAGTGTATTTAGGATTTGTGATATCTTGAAATGAGCTAGACAACAATGTAGAAATTTACACGCAGTGGCGGATCCACAGGGGGGGTTCAGGGGGTTCGAACCCCCTCCTTTCAAAATTCCTGGATCCGTCCATGACACGGGAGGTACTTACATGCATTCATTGGGATACCACAGCCGCAGTCCATGAGATCAAAGTACGTTCCTTGTACACACGATGTCCTCATCCAGCCCAGGAGGCCTACAGAGATGTTGTAGGACATGGGGTTGCTTCCCCAGTCGGGTCTCTTGTCGCATACGTCTGGAAAAAAGACGGTATAGATTGTGAAGTGCTACTCTGGGCACATGGACACCTGTATGTTCATAGTATCCAGTTATAATTTCAAAACTACTATGACACGTTAACCGACATGTCCATTATTATAATCATCATCATCATAATACCATAACCGACTCACATTGCAATAGAGGAGTGAGTGGCATCATGGCTGTACATCACGATGGAAAATAACCCACAAAACATTAACACACTAAAAGATATACTCATTTTTACGACAGCCAATATTAATAAACTGCATTATGCTCGTCGTAAGAGACTAACGGCATCGGGTGGTCAGGCTCGCTGACCTGGCTCACACATGTCATCGTATCCCAATTGCGTAGATCGATGTTCATTATGTTGATCACTGGATTGTGTGGCCCAGACTCGATTATTTACAGATCGCCGCCATATAGCTTGAATATTGCTGAGTGCGGCGTAAAACTAAACCCACTCACTACAGAGGATGGTATTCCGTTTTAGAGCTGTATGGGTATAGGTACATAAATAAATGTATTGGGCCTACCTCTGCTTGCACATGGTGTTGGGCAGAGATCTCTACAATAGAAGTCTGGTCGGCAGCCCTGTCCCACGACATATCTGAATCCCATTGGACAACACTCGCCCCTGGACAGACCCTTCTCGCAGACCCAGTGGGCGCGGCAACTTCCTTCCATGTTATAGTTGGCGACACAGGATCCGTTACACTTCTCTGGAACACAGATGAGTTTATTAAGTGTTAAACCAAGGTGGAAAATATAGTTTAGAAATCTCGAGTTGTGGTGATAGCACTTGTTCAGAAAACAGGAATTTAGAATTCTGCAACACCTGTTTGCTTTCAGATCGTATAGTAAACATCAGTATCAGAAAAAACAATAACAGTTATGTTTGGAGTTGTTGGTGGGACGTATGATTTCATTCGTATTGCACTTGTTAAGGCGTTATCAATATACTGGTCAAAGTTAGTTCAAAGGCGGTTGAGCGATGATCCTTATCTACTGACCCAGTGGACATCTCACTCTCCAGGGGTAGTCACATCTGAGTGTTCTCTGGTCCCAGTAGTAGCCAAACGGACATGCTCGATATACACCAATCACAGAGCCGTTAGGGTTGTAGTAGCATTGGAGGTACTTGTCGCAGTCTGTGGGGTGGTAACGGTAACCGACGCCGTTTATCTGCTGAGCGGTGCGACACAAACCTAAAACCAATACAATATTGATATGGTTATACAGGTACATATAAGAAAATGTACATACATTATATACATATCAATTTATAGTAAAATTTATAGTCAATTTAGTAAAGAATATATCGTTGTGCGTATACTTTTGCATAGTTGAATTACCACTTTCTTTTGTTGCAAGAACAGAAGGTTCCTGTATGCCTGTATGAGATAGTGAGTGAGTTTTAGTTTTACGCCGCTTTTAGCAATATTCCAGAAATATCGCGGCGGGGGATACCATAAATTATTTCACACTTTGTACCCATGTAGGGAATCGAACCCTGATCTTGGGATTTAACCACTAGGCTACCCCACATCCCCGTAAACCGGTATAGGTTATGGAAGGTACTATCAGTGGATGTATAGATTTATTTGAAAGTTTTATATTAAAAGTCCAAACAGCTCACCTAGGACAACAACAGGACACGCCGCGAGGTTGCACGGTTTGATGCTTTCTTCAGTGACGTTACCGTCGCATGGCTTTCCGTTGTTTTGGGGTGCTGGATTGGAGCATGTTCGGGATCGCTGTACTCGCTTGGTGGCGGCGGTTCCACAGGTAACGGGACAAGCAGGATCTGTCCATTGACTCCACTGAGTGAGACCGCCATCAACTGAATGAAAGAAGGCCATGTTATGAAACATCACACAAAAAACAGCTGTTTTAGTTTTAAACATATTTCCCTCATAAGCAGGGACTGAGATTTGGCCCAAATTTACAAATGTGACAATATGTTCTTTCATGAATTAACTTTATGATGTGTCGACCCGTGAAATCACTCACATAGATTTCAAATCAGGATGTTCGTTTCGTGTATGCAAGGTCTGAATAATTAAATATCCAATTCCGTATTTGTTCGTGTAATATATGTTTAATATAATTGTTAGAAAAGCATGATTCATGGATGTCAATTTCTTTTTTGTGAATGAGTGTATGCTTGCTCCTTCATCAGGTGAATTGTAGGGAGTATCAGGGGGATATATATACATACATGAGGCACTACAAAGAAAACTGGAGTATCAGGGAACAATATATATACATACTCGAAATCGTACAACAGACTGTGATCTGGCAGATGTGGATGTGGAATGGGGCTTATATTTATGGTATTATGTATACAAACATGAATGTTCAGATGAGTCTTGTATCATGACTATTTTACGGGGAAATCTGCAAACCCACCAGGACAGTCAGTGTTTCCACAGAGTCGACTTGATGTCTCAGCGAGTGGCTCCGGACACTCTCGGCCACCGAACTGGGGTCGTGGGTTGGTGCAGGTTCTGGTTCTGGAGACTGTCTTCCTTGCAGCTGAACCGCATGTGATAGGGCAGTCGGGGTCCGACCACTGTGTCCACTGTGTCAAGCCACCCGCGACTGTAATCAAAGAAAAACAATGATGAATCTGAACCACCATGTCTCTTTACACACTGTTGTTGTTTTGCTTATTTGTTTGTTGTTGAACGCCGTACTCAGCAATATTCCAGCTGAATGACGGCAGGCTGCAAATAACCAAGTCTGGACCAAACGATCTAGTGATCGGCATCATAAGCATCGGTCTACGCAATTGGGATACGATGGAATACAGCCAGCCTCACCATACGATCCCATCAATCACCACTGACGACAAGCATGGGTTGCTGAAGATCAATTCCAACCCGGATCTTTACGGGTTGTGACTGTTGGTGTAGGAATTCCATCAAATCAATCACAACAAATAGCGTTAGAAGGGATGATAACAACGCACTTTATGGATATGTCATTCGGTATACCTGTATGTTATGAAAGTGTCTCCACTTGAGATCACCATATGTGGATCGAATGGTCTACTCTGATTACTGTCGTTGTGAAGCAACAACGTTGTCAGCCACCACAAAGAGTTTTGCGTTTGTAATATCGGTGGTAATATCATCCACATCGGAACAACTTGAACCCGTTAAAAGAGTGAGAATTCAGATCTGTTTTTCTACATACCAGGACAATTCCCAAGACCGCATGTTCTAGATTCACTCTCGGCTAGAAGTCCTGAACAAGGGCGTCCTCCGTGTGCAGGGGCGGGGCTGTTGCACAGACGGTTACGACTGACAACTTTGGTGGCTGAGGGACCGCAGGTAACGGAACAGGGTGGGTCGCTCCACTGAGTCCATTGAGACAAGCCACCGTCAACTGGACACTCGGGAAAACCACAACTGCGGCTTGTGCTCTGGAACAGCACCTCTGAACATCTTTGGCCACCGCTGGTCGGAGGTGGGTTGGTGCATGTCCTTGACCTGGTCACCGTACGTGAAGCCGAGGTTCCACAAGTCAGCACACAGCTTGGTCCCGCCCATTCAGTCCAGGGTGTGACGGCACCATCAACTGCACATAAAGAAATTTATTTCACTTGAGTTCAAGTCAAGTGGCATGGCCAAAGAACAGTATCTTTAATTGTGTCCAGTTTTCAAATGTAGCAATGCAGATGTGATCTATTCATGTATTCTCTTCAAATATTTGTCGAAGATAATATTTTCGGCGGATACGGGAGACTGGTTATTGTCTGGAGTTGACTTTCTATAATATATGGGGCCATGATGTGTAATGTACACTCACCTGGACAGGAAGGAAGATTGCATGATCTTGATTCTGACTCAAACCGGCTTCCTGTGCAGTTTCGACCGCCATTCTGTGGTATGGGGTTTGTGCAACTTCTTGTTCGGACGGCAGTTCGGACAATACCCGTACCGCACGTAAATGGACAAGTGGGTTGTGACCACTGTGTCCAAAGGGTGAGACCTCCATCAACTACAATCAGAAAGTATTGTCAAAAGCTGTTGTAACAGTACAGTAGACAATGACTAGACTATATTCGTTACACCTGCAGTTTTTATACGACTAAAATATGTTACAAGTGAACCACAAACAGGTCGTTATATCGGAGTTCTTTAGAAACGTAGTTGACTGTACATAGAATCATCATTTCTTATCAGGTATTGTAGTTATCAAATATCAAGGTTAATATCGTTACACTAAAATAACTTTGGTTAGCCATAAATTCCCTCTGGAATATATTAAGAAACATTTTTTCGTTTTAAAACCAGGAAATTAAACAGGACATACTCGGACACGGTGTGAGGAAACAGTTGCGACGCGTTGACTCTTGAAATTCTCCGGTACAGTTTCTGCCTCCATCGCTTGGCGTCGGGCTGTTGCAGACTCGGAATCGGGTGGCACTCCGGGTGAATCCTGATCCACAAGTAGCCGGACATGCCCCAAGGCTCCACTGACTCCACTGGTTGAAACCGCCATCGACTAAAAATGCAAATTTTGATCGCATGAACGATAACTATATGCTTGTAAATAAACAAAGTAGTGTCTAAAAATGTTTGCGTAAATGTCGAATTTGACATTTCCGGCCAATCTCACATTAATGATGACACTGATTAACAGATATATAAATGGGTATAAATAATATGTCTTGCAAATGACCTTATATAACCACACAATAAAAGGATATTTTATCCATGACTAATGTCATTACCTGCACAAGTTGGAAGGCCGCAATTTCTGATTTGTGAGTCAACAAGAATTTGGCTACAATTCCTGCCGCCGAATTGTGGGAATGGGCTGTTACAGAATCGCACCCTGTTGACGGTCCTCGTAAGCGTGGACCCGCACGTTACACCACATGACGGAATGGACCACTGGGTCCATTGACTGACGCCACCATCAACTGTAACAGAATCAATGTATGAATCCTTTTGTTGTCAGAGAGCAAAAATAATTATCCTTTACAAAGAATGTTTATGCTAATGTTTTAATGACATATCAAACATCATTTCTAAATTTAGCTTTATCGTATTTCAAGGTCAATGTTTACCCCCCAAAATGGAGAACTCTTTCCAATGTTATGACTAAACAAAATGTTGGCATATATAAGGTTGGTTGGTTGGTGGTTAACCCCGAACTCAGCAATATTCCAGCAATATGGCGGCGGTCTGTAAATAATCGAGTCTGGACCAAACAATCCAGTGATCAACAGCATGAGCATCGATCTACGCAATTGGGATACGATGTCATGTGTCAACCAAGTCAGCGAGCCTGACCACCCGATCCCGTTAGTTGCCTCTTACAAGCATGGGTTACTGAAGACCAACTCCAACCTGGAAGGTTACACAATCTAGAAGGACACATCGTATACATACTGGGACATGGGCTGAAGCCACAGTTTCGGGTTTCAGTCTGGGAGAGACTCTCCGAACAATTTCTACCCCCAAACGCAGGGAACGGATTGTTGCAAAATCTTTGTCTTCTGGCTGTCCTGAAAATGCTGACACCGCATGTGGCGCCGCAACCTGACTCTATCCACGTTGTCCATTGGCTCACTCCACCATTAACTGTAACATAAAGCCTACTGATTAAAAATGCAAGTGAAAAGAGGGAATTGTGGTCATTCAAATGTCCCAAAGAATGTGTGGCAAGGAAACTCACTGGCTTGATTTGCTTGACAATCCTATTGAGTAGGAGCAGTAGTAGGGACACACTTTCACAAACAATATTTCTTACATTTCTGTATTTACATATAAACATAGCATATGTGTGTATGATGTATGCATATATATACATGTTTATATGTTGTTTTCAGGACTGTTAAATACGTTCGGTCATCCTTCGTATATTCTGATTGTTTGTTTGTTATGTAAAACCGATTTCCAGCTATTTGACGCTTTTCTGGTAAGGGTCCAATTGGGTCCATAAGATCCTGTTACTGACATCGAGAACGTAGGATACGACGTTGATATGAATCAGCTAAATCAGCGTGTCTGACCACCCTATCCTGGTAGCCGTGTGAATCGCTAAAGACCAGTTTAACCTTTACAGGGATAATTCATGACTTATACCTGGACAAGGCGAAAGACCGCAGCCTCGTGCTTGGGAGTTGACACGGGACTCCGTGCAGTTCAAGCCGCCATTACTTGGAGGAGGGGGGCTGTTGCAGAATCGTTGTCTGGTAGCAGTTACAGACAAGCTGGTTCCACACGTCAAAAGGCACTGAGGAACCACCCACTCAGTCCACTGAGATATACCACCGTTCACTGCAGAAGAAGACACCATATTTGTAGTTTGTAGTATATTTTTCTCTTTTTACTATGTCACGATATTTTACTGTCAAATATGAGTGAGTGTCAGAGAAATATGTATTGACAAAATAGTGTACATCTTTGGTGTTCACCTGGGCATTGTTTCCCAAAACAATCCCCAAATTCCATCCTGCAACTCCGGTTGCAAGAACACGCACGCACTGGCACACTTTCGTAACAAGACCCTTACCTGCGCATGCTGCAAGATTACAATTTCGAACGGTGTTTTCAAAAAAAGAGTCTCTGTACAGGCTCTTCCTCCAAACTGTGGAGTAGGACTTGTACAACTTCGCGTGCGCGTCACTGTTTTAGATGCAAAGATTCCACAAGTGACGGAACAGGCGGGGTCGTTCCACTGTGTCCATTGTGTCACTCCACCATCAACTGAAACAATGAGAGATGATTGGTATGACCTATGTGTTCTTGTTGCTCCCGTCTCTAACAAACGGGATCTGAGCTCCCAAATCTCCCACAGTTTGGTTCACCATAAATTACCTGCATTACACCAGTGTCAAATCAGCCTGAAGTGACCAACAAGCGAAACAAGCCCATCAAGGTTTGCCATTATCTGGAGATGCCATGTTAATTACCACTGTTGATACATGTTGCTAAAAATGACTCTTCGCTTCATCTTAGTTCCTAAAAACATTACATAACGGGGAATTTTGGTACTGTTGTTTTCTGGGGTGGTTACAGTGGGTTATAATGATTGGCATTTGCTTATTATTTGTCTTGATGTTTTCGTGAACGGAATCAACGGGAAATATCCCGACTTATTAAGTAAATATTCCCTTGATAAATTACCAATTGCATTTTTTTCTTAAACTATCTATCAATATTTCTATAGCTAAACCTAAGGCTACATGCCATGCTAGTATACTCTACAAGCAATGAAGAGCAGATTATGCTTTAGTTTCGATTACGCACTGACAGAGTTAACTGTAATGGCACTACCTGAAAACATTCTACTCATGTAAAACATTAGCGCATGCTAACAAATTGTAATGCATAATAATATACATGCGAACATCAGTTCTAACTAAAACAAAATTGGTCACATAAGTATCAAATGCAAACAGCATATGAACGCATCACTGAAAGGAACTACAGAAGAATTAGTTCCATGCACAGCAGATTTCCATAATGGCGGCATCTGTCGGTTTAAAAAGAGTTGATTGAGCATGCAATTCAACGTCTACGCACGTCTAAGTAAAGAAGGTGTTTGAACTACGTCTACACGTCCAGTAGTCATGCTTTATTTGTTACTTCGACATGGATAAAACGTCCAAGTCCTACAGTTTGCTTCTGACAATCCTTCTGTACAGTCACTTGCACGAGCTTAAGGACAGGTGTGGGCACGTGCCAGGCACCAGCTCCTCAGACATGTGACAACGTGTACAAGGACCGTGGCGTGAGGCCACTACCGACTGTGAGCAAAGGGTGTAAGAACAATGCAACAAAACAGTGAAAGACAATGTGTTAGTCAAAGCAAGCCATTAGAGTGTTATTCCATAAGCTAATTTATTCTGCATTTGGAATGATCATCAACTTCTCTTTCTTCTTCGTATTCATAGAATTCATATGATGTCACCAAATACAAAATAATTAGTCAATGTAAAAGTTAAAAAGATTCAGCAAACAATGAGTTAAACGGTTGATTAAGTTATATAGCAGCCATTACTTGGACATGGGTTAAGACCACAGTTTCTCTGCTCTGATTGAAATGTGGCTCCGAGACCGGTACAGTCACTACCCCCGTCACTAGGGACAGGGTTGGTGCAGCTCCTGGTTCGAGTAACAGTACGGGTAGCACTCTGTCCACAGGTGACAGAACATTGTGGGACGCTCCATTGTGTCCAGGTAGATAATCCGCCGTCAGCTGTTTAAGAAGATCCATGGTTCATGTTACCGGATGGTCATCTTAGAGGCGTCATAATTTGCATATTGCATGAATATGAATACATTTGTAGGAATTTATCTTCCTGACCATAATAGAATTTAGAATATATACAGGTAGGTCTACTAGAAATGAAGTGAGATTTGCTTCTTAACTCTTCATAAATCATATCAATACAAATCAGTCTTGTCTAAAACCACGATAATAATTGCAAGTAGTCATTCTCTGTCAAGCATGCATGAGACAGTAGAGATTATTTACTTGGGCACGACGTCAATCCACAGCTCCTGACTTCGCTGTCGAACAGGTTCCCTTGACCTGTACAATCACTACCACCAAACTGAGGGACAGGATTTGAACACGATCGTGTCCTAGTTACAGTGCGGGTCGCAGCTGAACCGCACGTCACTGAACAAGCTGGAACGCTCCATTGAGTCCATTGGGTCAATCCTCCGTTAACTGTTTGAAGTTAAAAATGGTTTGTGCAAATGTGAAAACTATAGAGTGACAACAGTTAAAGGACTGTGCATAATAACTGCATATCTGTGTTATCAAACTTATCTTCATTGATTGATTGGTTTTGAACATACGTGACACCGAGAAACAAGTTACAAAAATATTGTTAACAGATCTACGGGCCTTTGTCACCGGCACCAAAATTGATATTAGATAACCAAATCTGACAGTTACATTGCCCAAAACCACTATGCTCCTAAAGACTCTTTGTATAATGTCAGACTGACACGTGTAAACATAACAATATTCAGAGAGTACGAATTAGTCCTTTTCGCCACATTAGCAATCTGACAGCTGACAGGGTGCGTTGGCAACGCCTGCAAGGACCGCTGCGTAGCATCCCCCTTCGACTGCGAGCACAAGATGTTAGGACATTGCAACAAATTGGGACAGTGAAGGACAATGCGTGAGTCAGTTTAAGCAAAAGCAAATGTGTTATGACATAAACTTCTTTGTGTTATATTTTGAACGGTCATCAGCTTTTCTATGACCCTTTGTTCTATGTTGTCTTTTTTGCAAAAAGGCAAACAATTCTGAATGAACTACTGTGCGATTCTGTTAAGAAATACAAAATAACTATTGAACGTAATAGTTCGACAAGATTCAATAATCAATGCGTTAAACTTGTGATTGAGATGTATGGCAGTCATTACTTGGACATGGGTTAAGACCACAGTTTCTCTGCTCTGATTGAAATGTGGCTCCGAGACCGGTACAGTCACTACCCCCGTCACTAGGGACAGGGTTGGTGCAGCTCCTGGTTCGAGTAACAGTACGAGTAGCACTCTGTCCACAGGTGACAGAACATTGTGGGACGCTCCATTGTGTCCAGGTAGATAATCCGCCGTCAGCTGTTTAAGAAGATCCGTGGTTCATGTTACAGGATTCGTCTCGTTTCCATATTAAATGTATGTGTACACGTATACAAACAATAAATTGGGTTCACTTGTGAAAGCCATTTGAAGGTCACTAAATACACACGAAAAAATCATTACAATAATGAAATAAGAACTGTATCTTAAAATATGTATGTAATTACTTGAAATGAAACATGATTTACTGACAAATCTTGTGAAACATATAAATAGCAAAGCATTCCTGTCTAAAAACACGATAATGGTTATAATTTTGGGTTTGGGAGTTTTTAGTAAACAGCAAAGAATATTTACTTGGACACGGCGTCAATCCACAGCTCCTGACTACGCTATCGAACGTGTTCCCTTGACCTGTACAATCACTACCACCAAACTGAGGGACAGGATTTGAACACGATCGTGTCCTAGTTACAGTGCGGGTCGCAGCTGAACCGCACGTCACTGAACAAGCTGGAACGCTCCATTGAGTCCATTGGGTCAATCCTCCGTTAACTGTTTGAAGTTAGAAATGGTTTGTGCAAATGTTAGAAATATAGAGTGACAGCAATTAAATGACTGTGCATAATTACTGCATATTTGTGTTATCGAACATATGTCCATTGATTGATAGGTTTTGTGCAAACGCAACACTGAGAAACAAGTTACAAAAATGTTGTTAACAGATCCACGGCCCTGTGCCACCTGCTTTTTCGCCCTATTAGCAATCTGACAGCTGACAGGGTGCGTTGGCAACGCATGCTAGGACCACTGCGTAGCAACCTCACTCGCTTCCCTCACCCCCACACCCCCACTCCGACTGTAAGCACAAGATGTGAAGACATTGCAACAAGTAAAGACAGTGAAGCACAATGCGTGAGTAAGTCGAAGCAAATCACAAGTGTGTTATGATAATTATATACTTCTTTGTGCTATATTTGGAACGACCATCATGTTCTCTGTGAACCTTGGTTCTATGTTTGTTTTCTTGCGAAAGCCCAACTTTCCTTTGGGATTACCGCCAGCACCTTTTGACTATGCATGTTTCTATTTTAGAGTCAATATCAAGACTTATTGCTAAAATACATGGCATTATCATGAAACGGCCCTCCTATTATCAGAAATTTGCGGGCCGCTGCAAATGATATTGTGATTATTACTTGGACATTGTGAGAATCCACAGCTCCTGACTTCGCTATCGAACGTGTTCCCTTGACCTGTACAATCACTACCACCAAACTGAGGGACAGGATTTGTACACGATCGTGTCCTAGTTACAGTGCGGGACGCAGCTGAACCGCACGTCACTGAACAAGCTGGAATGCTCCATTGAGTCCACTGGGTCAGTCCTCCGTTAACTGTTTGAAGTTAAAAATGGTTTGTGAAAATGTTACAAATACAGTGTGACAGTAGTTAAAGGACTGTGCATAGAAAGCGTAAAACACACTGGGGAACATGTTATATAGAAAGAAGGTATATGTTTTGTATGATATCTATCTTATTTCACTTGAAAGGATGGTCATATGTGACGCTGAGGGAATAAAATATTTTAAATTAAAAATTACTGTTCTACTTTGACGTCAGCAAACAAAGGAGTATTGTTGTATGTTGCATCAGTTATTGTTAGCGCAAGAGATAATTCATAATAGCACAAAATACACACACACAAGTACAAAGTCCGCATGCCATTATCCTGAGAGGTCTTGATGCATATTACTATACATTCGTCCGCATGCCATCTTTATTTATCATTCTCCGAGAGGTCTTGATGCATATTACTATACATTCGTCCGATATACTTCAGATATCTACGTTTCACGTTACGTTCAAATATTCTCATGTATTTACCGTATCTAACATACGCTGGGATTATTTCTGCTTGCATTGTTGACTCAAAGAATGAATATTTATAGAACCACTAACACCATACTACACTGCTATCTTGTCCACCCTTCGAGTGAGTGAGTGAGTGATTTAACCACGAGGCTACCCCAATCCGTCGAGGAAATAATCAGTTGTCATATTGTTCTTGTATACAAATAATAAAAGCTGGATGGTGACACACAATCTGTCACAACTGATGGTTTATTGTTGGCAGTCGGTCATTACAACATACAGTCTCCATCCTACACTTGTTTCGGTACTTCTTAAATGTTTTATATATCCTGTGGGTGGAAATGACTGGAACCATCCGCTACTTTCGCGTTCCTATAAAATTTAACTGCGTTTTGATAATCCTACTGCATACCACTGTCAGCAACATTGTCATCCAAGAATATATTTCTGAAGTAGTAACATCAGTAACACCTTTCTTTGACATTGATATATCTTTTTCATTTTTTAAAATATTTTACAGTCAAGAAGAGGTGCAGCTTCATCGTAATTGAAACACTATTTCTGTGCACCGTAAAGCAAGCAAATGTATGTATTTTGCGTGAAAAACATCCGACATTAAACTAACCTGGGCAAGTCGGCAGTCCACAAGACCTAGTTTCTGTTTGGAACGTTGCTCCTGTGCAATCAGCTCCGCCATTGCTTGGAACGGGATTGTTACATTGCCTAACCCGGGTAGCCAGTGTGTTGAAGGAACCGCATGTTCGGGTACAAGGCACAACACTCCACTGTGTCCACTGAGAGAGTCCTCCATCCACCGCCACTAAAGAAACAGAGAACCAGCTTGTGACGAAAACGAATATCTACTATCCCCGTTGTTGAGCGGTTGGGTCGAAGTTGAAAAGATCTACTCAGATACTTATAAGAGGTTCGACACAAAGTAAATGAAAGAGAACCAAGACAAACAATATACCACATAACTGTGTTTGACTGAACATGAACATTGGGTGAGCCAGACAACCAACTCGAAATGCAAAAAGATAAAAAAATGTGATAAAGCAGAAATGTTAACTTACCGGCACAAGCTCCAAGGCCACAGCTTCGGAAAGCTGTATTGGAAAGGGATTCTGTACAGAAGGCTCCTCCATTGCTCGGCGGTGGGTTGGTGCAACTCCTGGTTCTGGTGATAGTCCTGACGGCTGACACTCCACAGGTGACGGTACAGGCAGGGATCGACCATTGTCCCCACTGTGACACACCACCAGCCACTGAAACGGACAGCAGAGGTATCACAAATACCATACTCCCATCGGTAATAGCTAGGAGGTCAGTGTGAAGAGGAAGGACTACCACTTTCCAACATTCAACTGTTTCCTGGTAAAGCAATATTCCAACAGCTACAGCCTTTAGCGTTTTCATTGTTTCTTATGGATATATACTCATGGAAACAAATAAGGGAACATATGAAAGTACAAGTGTTCCTCTATATTTCCAAAGTTCACCCACAGTGCAATACATACCTTGTGAAGTAACCTGGAAAAGAATAAAGGAACACCTGTACTTTCATATGTTCCCTTATTTGTTTCCATGAGTATATTTATGTCTTTTTCATGAGTTCTGTTGGCCTTATTGATGGTTGTGTTCATCAGACATCTGGTAACAGGGAAGAGGTGGCGGCTATCAATGCAAGAATGATTCAGAGATTGGTTTTATGCATGCCTGTGTTTTTTACCTGGACAGTCCACGAGTCCGCAGTTCACTTGATTAGTTTGAACAAGTGGTAGACCTATTGTTTCACAGTCTCTGCCTCCGTTGCTGGGCGGGGGGGTTATTACACAGTCTAGTTCTGGTTATGAACTTGGTAGCACTGGATCCACAGGTCACAGAACAGCCTGGGTCATTAAACGCAGTCCACTGTGACACACCTCCGTCGACAGCAACTTAAACATACAATTTCATAGTTCATTCATCTCTTCGTTACCTGACACATCACCAAAACAAAGGATGTTGAAACTGCTATACAGACGGATACCGCTCAGTACTGCATACCACTACACAAAAAATATATTCATGTCTGTCGTAATCTTCAAAATCACAAGTCAGCAAAGGAAAATATATACTGGTGTTCAAAAGAAAGTACACACCTGGTATTTTGAGACTATTGAAAAAACGTAAATATTTTGCTAGCAATGTTCCAATTGGGTACGATATCTATGGTGTTATTGCAAAACGTACACAATGTTTGTGACTTGTGACTTTTCTAAATATTACGCAGTTTTTTAGGAAAACATTTTACCAAAGCATCAGGTGTGTACTTTTATCTGCACGTCAGTTTAGAACAAATGTTTCTATTATAAATGAACTTTTAATGCAAAGTTGAGTAGACTTTCATCGCTCCTACCTGGACAGGCAGGAAGACCACAAGATAAGAATGTTGTTTCAGAAAGAGGCTGTGTACAGAAGCTTCCTCCATTGGCTGGTATGGGGTTGTTGCATTGCCTTGTCCTCGTAGCCTGATAGGTGGTCGTAGATCCACAGGTCGCGGTACAGGTCGCAGAGCTCCACAGACCCCACTGATTGACTCCACCATTCACTGGAATCAGATTTGAATCATCTTATCATTCTTGTCTCAAAACAACACATCATCACAAATCTAGACACGTTTGTCTTCATATGTAAAACCAAGCGTTTCCTGTTTTAAGAATGAAGACTAATGCCAGCTAAGCATACAATCACTATTTCAGATACATTAAATCTGTCTCTACACGCTAGCATCACAATCTAGAACGCTTGGTGTTCACATGTAAAACCAGACCGCCTCGGTGGTGTAGTGGTTAGAGCGTCCGCCCGGAGAGCGGAAGGTCGCGGGTTCGATCCCCGACCGCGTCATACCAAAAGACGTTAAAATGTGGTACATGTTGGTCCCTGCCTGGCGCTCGGCATTAATGGGTACAACGAGGACTGGTCGGCTCGGAGTCAGTATAGTGTGTCTGAGTGGGATATCCATGCTTCACTGTGGCGTGGTATCTCAGTGGGCTAGCACTATAAAACCAGCTTAAGTCTGGGCTAGTACAAGCAGCCGCACATACACATACATACGCATGCACGTCGTCATATGAGCGAAATATTCTCAAGTACGACGTTAATCCCAATTTCACCTCACCTCACCTCACCTCACCTCACCTCACCTCACCTCACATGTAAAACCAAGCTTACTCTTTATGATGAATAAAAAATAACCCTAGCTATGATTACAATCACTATTTACAATACATTTATTTTAAATCTATCTATTATTACGAAAGCACATGTGAACTGGTTTCCGTATTAGCAGCCAGCATGACACTACTTGACACTACATGCTGATGTTGTCCGTGAAGATCCGAGTTAGAACTGATCTTCAGCAACCCAAGCTGGTCGTAAGAGGCGACTGACGAGATCAGGTGGTCAGGGGTCTACTGCTTAGATCGATGCTCATGCTGTTGATCACTGCACTATCTCGCCAGACTCGATTATTTACTGACCGCCACCATATAGCAGTGATATTGCTGATTGCGGCGTCAACCAACCAACCAACCAACTACATACAGATGCTATAAACACCAAGGCGTGGATACATTCCGGAACATTTACGGCAAAACAATAATATGATTACCTTGGACCAAACATTATTAGAAATTAAATGGCACATGGTCAAACCGAATTCTAATTACCTGGACATCCAACTAAACCACATGAAACTCTAGCTGTTTGACTGAGATTTTCCACACAAAACTGTCCACCGTTGGATGGAGGGGGATTGGTGCAGGTTCGTGATCTTGTGATGACCTTAGTTGCCTCTCCGCAGGTGACGGCACAGCTTACAGAGTCAGACCAGGCTCCCCACTGACTCACGCCGCCGTTTACAGCAACTACAAGTAACATATACAGGATTAGTACACATTTCACTTAATTATTTAGGTACGCCTTAGCAGGGGATACGGAACTCCTACACTGTAGTCGTAATTCAAAATATTAACAACTGGATTTCCTGCCCCATCGATCAATGATCAATGATTGATTTCAATGCAGGAGTACTTCTATGTCAAATCGGGCATTTACTTATGTGGCAAACTGTGTGAATGGTTGGTGCTGCCGGAAGTGACGGACAGGCTTATTTTTATGTTCAATAGATGGTGTCCTCACCAAACTGAATGTAATACACAATACAATAACATACAATCAATCTTGTATCGAAATTGTGTCAAAAGAAGAGGCTTGACCACTTCATAAGCTTTCTTCCTTCATCATGGTTGTATCGAACCCTGGATAACTCGAAGTATTTATTTAGGTCACTTCGACTTCGACACAGGTGTTTGACTTGATGGACATTAGTAGCGTTATACTGACCTGCACATGCTGGTGTGCCGCATGACACCGTGGACGACTGTACCAGGGACTGAGTGCAGGATGCTCCGCCATTAGACGGAGTAGGGTTGTTACACAGTCTGATGCGTTCAATAACCTTAGTAGCAGTCACACCACAGGTAACCGGACAAGCCACAGTATTGGTGTTCCAAGCCTGCCACTCGGAGACCCCGCCATCGACTGGAAACGAACAGATAATATTGCTTGATAAACCACATGGTAAAGGATTGAAAAATGCACCTTTAAAGGATTTTTTAACGGTATCAGTGTGCTGAAATATCACAAGCTTGAATAATACGGGATCACAGTGCTCTTCGTTGTCTCGGAAGTACATAAGCACATTATCATCACTGTACTATATATTATTTAGTACTATATACAACAAGATAATATAACCTATTGTCTTGCGTTACAAGGTGATATGGATTCTATATTGTTCAGCACATATGTATATTTCATTGCCTAGTTCCAATACGGATGTTATCAGTCCCTGAATCACGCTGAGGCGACTTTTCAATATAAACGAAATTAATTGTTAATATCAAAACCATATATATTCAGAGACTAAGCACGAGTCAAGGGTTAGTCTACAATTTTTGGCAAAATGGTGTGAATACAATATTTCTCAAGGCAGCATTAACCTCACTCACTCCCACCCTTACGTATTAACTCACCCGCTCACTCGCGCAGATTTTGTTTGTATACCCAAACCTAAGTTTGATGAGGTATCTTCCCAAAATCAGTCTATTCTAATCCGCATATCACGGTATTTAATAATAATATACATACATGGCAGATATGTCTTACCTCTCTCAAGGCATTTATCACAATATCTTACCTGGGCAGCCGATTAGACCACAGTTTACTTGAGTCGTGTCAGTTAAACTCTCCAGGCAGTCTCTTCCACCATTGCCAGGAGGGGGATTGTTACACAGTCTAGTTCTGGCGATTGTCTTTACGGCAAATAAACCACATGTCACGGGGCAGCCAACCGTAGCTGTATTCCATGCTGTCCATTGTCCTACTCCACCATTCACGGCAGCTGCAACGCACCAAGACATAGTTATATAAATGTTCTAAATATAAGCGTCACCTTAATGAACATATTTGAGGCTTTGAAACATATTTTCTATTAAAGCGTATGTACAAAGCGGAGAAGAGCCCCAAGTTACATTCTAACGAAACATATTTATGAACATCAGTTTTACATCTCATTACTTTTCTAGATTTATACATTTTCTCTCGGATCTTATAGTTTTCCAAATGATGTCGTAAGAGAAGACTAGTCGGATTGGGTGGTCAGGCCTGCTGTCTTGGTATTCAAAATGCGTTGATCGATGCCTATGATATCAATCACTGGATTGTCTGGTCCAGACTCTATTACAGATCGCCGTCATATGGCTGGAAAATTGCTGGATGCGGCGTTAAACAACAAACAAACAAACAAACGAAAAACACTTAGACCGTCTCCTTACTGGGGCAGGCGACGGCTAATCCACAGGTGTCGGTCCTGCTATCAATGAGGGGATCTGTACAGGACGCGCCTCCATTTGTAGGGGGAGGATTATTACACTGTCGGAATCTGTTGACTATCTTGGTGGCGCTGAAGCCACAAGTAAACGGACAACTGGCTGTGGCGGTGTTCCATTCTCCCCACTGGGAAAGTCCTCCGTTAACTGGCAAAAACGATGTTAAACATGATATGGTTGTGCATATGTCATGCTATACGCAGTACTGAGTCATGTGGGAAACAATGAAGAGGTGCGATACCATTAACCATTAGATGTTCTAAGGGAGTATTAGAACATTATCATTAAAACATGGAGGTTATATGACAATGAATCACCTGGACATCCAGTCAAACCACAGTTGACCATCGTGCTCTCAGAGAGATTCTCAACACAGTTTGCACCTCCTGCTGAAGGAGGCGGGTTGGTGCAGGTCCTGAACCTCTGGATCATTTTGGTGGCAGTGGTGCCACATGTCACACTACAAGTTGGGTTGGTCCAACTGCCCCACTCTGTAACGCCGCCATTTACCACAGCTGCAAAAGACCAATAACAGACTCGTAATCATGATCAACAGAGACTAATCAGTGTCTTCTACCATGACAGTAATCAGGATCAACAGAGACTAATCAGTGTCTTCTACCATGACAGTAATCAGGATCAACAGAGACTAACCAGTGTCTTCTACCATGACAGTAATCATGTTTAACAGAGACTAATCAGTGTCTTCTACCGTGACAGTAATCAGGATCAACAGAGACTAACCAGTGTCTTCTACCATGACAGTAATCAGGATCAACAGAGACTAACCAATGTCTTCTACCATGACAGTAATCAGGATCAACAGAGACTAACCAATGTCTTCTACCATGACAGTAATCATGTTTAACAGAGACTAACCAATGTCTTCTACCATGACAGTAATCATGTTTAACAGAGACTAACCAATGTCTTCTACCATGACAGTAATCATGTTTAACAGAGACTAACCAGTGTCTTCTACCATGACAGTAATCATGTTTAACAGAGACTAACCAATGTCTTCTACCATGACAGTAATCATGTTTAACAGAGACTAACCAATGTCTTCTACCATGACAGTAATCATGTTTAACAGAGACTAACCAATGTCTTCTACCATGACAGTAATCATGTTTAACAGAGACTAACCAATGTCTTCTACCATGACAGTAATCATGTTTAACAGAGACTAACCAATGTCTTCTACCATGACAGTAATCAGGATCAACAGAGACTAATCAGTGTCTTCTCCCAAACAATAAATGAGGGACCACAAGATATTTAGTGACGCCAGTGAATGGGCCACATTTCGGTTACAGATGTTTACAAATAAAAGCGATAAATCTCCTTTCTATATGCACCGGGGACCTCTACCAAGAGTCGATTGTTTGACTAGGACTATACCTTGACCATGTGTTTAAGGAAACACTGTGAAACAGTAATGATACCAGGATTTCCTAATTTTTTCATTTTGTATATTTTATCACTATTATTAGCCGTTCATTGGGTACCACTGACTGCACTTGTTACTTCCTTACATGGACAAGCGTTAGTTAATCCACAAGACTCGGTACGTATCTCCAGCAGCGTCTCGCCACAAAACGTTCCTCCATTTTGGGGCGTGGGGTTAGTGCAGGTACGTCGTCTCTCGGTGGTTTCTGTGCAAATGTTCCACAAGTCTGAGGGCAGGTCACTGACCCGGAGTTCCAGGTTGACCACTGCGTCACGCCGCCATTCACTGCAGTCGAAGAACATTGTGTATACGTTACTAGGAAGGATTCCTATATCTCTAAACAATGCACGAATTAAATTAAATATGCATAGATATATGCAGCGATTATTCATGCCTGAAAACGATTGAAGTGCTAATAAAATATCCAACGCTGTCAAGGCAAGAAAACATCCAACGTTTCGTGAACATAGAAAATTTTATGGATTTCATCTTCTTTTTATTCTTTGATACAACGTTTCGGGGCTTGTTCTGGCCCCATCATCAGGTAAAATTAATGAACAGTCAAAGTCTAACAAAGATTCATTATGGGACACTTTCTCGCGATTTCTCGCGATTTCTCGCAATTTTTCTCATTCAACTAATCAATGAGTAATGATAAACTCCGAAACGTTCTGTTCCTCATAATGAAAAATCTGACATTCGTAAATCTCTCTTCCTTGTGTATCACGTCTAAATGCCATTCAAAGGCTACCTGTAACCACACGGACGCGAAGCGAATGTCAATTATATCCTTCAGCATAATTTGTGTCTTTTTGAATATTGCATTACTGATAGTTTTTAAGACATCGTTGACGACAATATCAACGTTCGGACCTAGATCATGTACATGTCCTGCTGTCATCTATCAGTGAAAAAATCATTGCATGTTGCGGTTGTGCATTTCCATGTATAATTCGACTATTCCTGGGTGTATTTTTACCTTAATTGCCTCAAAAAGCTGCACAATTTCTGATGCGGCATAATGCAATACTCACACACCTTATTATATTTACTGTTTTTTACATCTGGGCCTTCTGATGCCTGGATTTTGTTTCCAGTTGTTACAATCTAGAAATCACCTCGTAACAATAGAGTGAGTAAGTATGTTTTTATTGAACCCATGTGGGGAATCGAACCCGGGTCATGGGCGTGACGAGCGAACGTCATAACCACTAGGCTACCCAATCGCCCCTTTTGTAACAATTAAGGAACTCCAAACTGCACATTGTATCAGCAACACTCATTAGTATAGATCAACAAAAGCAACCTCCACTGTTCTAGCTTAGGGTAAAGAGTGTCTCCTTTCAATTTGAATTATGCCAGTTGACCTACCTGGACAGCCAACCAATCCGCAGTTGGTCACAGCATTCTCTACGAACTGACCGGTACAGTTAGCACCACCATTCAAGGGCTCGGGGTTGTCACATGTCCTGGTCCTGAAGACAGTTTTTGTAGCTCCAGCGCCACATGTTACACTGCATGGAGGCTGACTCCATGGCGTCCACCCGCTGAATCCACCGTTGACAGGAGCAGAACTCGCTGGAACAGACATTTATTCGTCTGAGAGAAAAAAACGGCATTAGCTCAGTTATCAAAGACTTAGCTCGTTACTATGGTCAACCAAGTGGAATAAAAAGTTTTACAGTCGAACAAATCAATTATGCTTTTGCTTCATCATTATGTATGTGTCGATTCCATATTGAGGCGACCTCTTTCTTTCAGTGTTATTTCGACTAATACGTATATGAATGCCAATCAGTTAATCAAATAATGTTGACTATCTGACACCACTTACTTGAAACAGTCAGCCTAGACGAAACCTGTTGGCCATTGTACGTGAATAGGTATGTTCCCTGGTCAGACAACTGGACGTTGGTAATGGTCAGTGTGTGAGATACGCAGTTACCGCTTCTGGTGTAGGATATCCTCCCCCCGGTGGAAACGACTCCGCCGTTCCGTATCCAGGTACCAAGATTACAATTGCCGTTTACCAGGTTTACCGTTATTGTTGCAGTACCGCCAATAGTCCTGGTTTGACTCCCTGTCCAGGTGAGTACTCCAGCTGAAATAGCAGAATAAGAATGGTCTAAAACATCTAATGATTAAATTGAAACATTAAAATTAGATGAGAATACAAAAATTTTCATGCTCAGAATGCTGGATGGATGACGATCGTTTAATACAGACAATTATGCCATTCCTCGGAAGTGGATGGCTCACTGTTATACAGCAAAGGTCACGAGTAGTGTTGTGTGTCAGGATTCTAACCTATCACAGTGATGATTGCAGACTGAGACTGTCCAGCAATGGTGAAGCTGTATGTAGCGGCGTCGCTCTGTTGGGCATTGATTATTGTCAGACGTTGAACCTGGTTATCCACGGTAACGGAAATGCGACCGTCATTTGGAAGACTCCCGCCATTCTTCCTCCAAACTCCACCGGTGATGCCGTTTTGATTCAGCGACACAGACAGGATGATAGTTTGGCTCGTGAACGCTGTTTGGTTTACCATGTTGTTGATGATTACAACTGAAACAAAAAGTTTACAGTGTATACTTATGTTGAACGTTTCTAAGAGATCACGGAGATGATAGTTCAAAATATTTTCGCAATTAAATTAGCTAAAACCAGTGATCTGCTTTCACTCAAATGTGTCACGATACATCTCATTCTTGCACACACGCTTACCTCTGCAAATGGTGTTTGGTAAGTTTCCCAGGGAATTGGATACACCGCTGTAGGTATCAAGCCTAGTTACAAGGCTTGGAGATGAGGCAATCTGCTGAACCTCCTGTCTGAAAGTATCAAGCAAACTAGCGCTGCCTGTTACAGCGGCTTCTACTCCAATAACATACACGGTGGTTCCAGCATTCCTGGCATTGGAGGCAGCATTGATAGTGGCTATCCGGTCATCGGAGATACTGTCTGTTATGACAATCATGACCTTTGGCGACCCAGATCGACCTTGGCTGTTCAGGAAGCTCGCGGCCGTGTTGATGCCAATGTGCGTGTTCTCTAGGCCATTTGTAGGGTATGTTGCCCCGCGAAGGGAGTTGAGCAGACTCGTCTGGCTACTCTGGACAGTGAGACTTGCAGATGAGGTAACCGATGTGCCGTACACGAGATAGCCTACTCTTGCATTCGGATAGTTTGCGAAGGTGTTGGTGATGAAGAGTTCCACGTCGGTCTTCATATTATTGAAGTTTGTAACTCCAACACTGGCTGACGCGTCCAAGACAAACATGATGTCGCTTACACACCCTGAAACAGAAATAAGGGACATATAGGGGAATGTTTGCCATTAGATATATGTCATGAACAACAGAGGGACTGGGGATAGACTCTTTACACATGTTTAAGATGATCAGTATTCTGGTAACGGTAAGTGTGACATTATTTTCAAGGTCGTTTTGAAATGACTTCAGTTACGTCATCCGTGTCGGTTAAATGAAGGATAAGACGTAGAGTAGGCCATTTACGTCTGTGGGTTTATTAACACGCAAGAACAGGGATAAAGCGTTGTGTCATATCCTTTGACAACTATGTTCCACGTGTGGCCTACGAACCTGTCAGCTGACCGCTTGTGGTGGTCATTAGACATGTGATAGCAAGCGCCACTGTCCACAGTGTGGTGTGGCTCCTCATCTTTGCTAGTTCTTCGAAACCTGAAAGAATAAAATCCCTTTTTAACAATTATGACACATTTGAAGACAAGGCAGTCATCCGACGTGGAAGTGAATATGTCACTTTAAGTAAGATTGATAGGACTTTCCACATAGTTACAAGTTATTATTTAATGCATGTGTAAGGACGTGTAAATCCTTACCACGGTGGCTAACTCATTGTTCTTATAATAGTTGAATGGAAGTACTCTTTGCAGATTTAATCATCAATGACGTTTCAAGAAATATTAATCAGTCTCAGCAGTGTGCTTCCAACTATAGATCCAACCATAGATTCCAACTATAGATCCAACATCCATCTATACCTGAATCATGTGTATACTAATCTCTCAGAATGCACATACATCGTAAATGTCTGCGTGTCTAAGGCTCTGTAGTGATGTGGATGTGGATGTGGATGGGGATGTGGTTGAGTGATAGGTCTTCCAGAAAGGATAGAGCTGGTAAGAAGATTCTGAAGGGCAGGGCATGATTCTTCTCTAAATGGAATGAATATGTGTGGGTGGCTATTCAGAATAACGCACTTGCGTGGCCTGTTTGCGCGACTCCAATAGTAGATAGACCGCCTGAGTACATTGTGTGCATCATTCAATGATACCATGGGTCATTAACTGCTTGAATTACACCTCTCCAAAACTATCTGTGAAATTCTCTAAAGTGGTTTGACAAGTTATTAGATCCCAGGTAAGACGTCTATTATTAGTTTCGGAGTAGTAGCATTTTATTTATATCCGCTGTTTGTATTACTTCAAATCAGAAACTTTAACCTTTTTACTTTCTACGGAGCTTGTGTAGTTGTGTGTGGCTTTTATTTTTTGAGATGAGCATACATATCTTTTCGAAATTTATTAAGTATTGGTTCAAATAGCATTACTTTCCAAGATTAGCCGTGATTGTGGGTTAAAGGGTATCCCTAGATAATTATGGTTGTAAGATAAGACAAATTGTCTGTGGTGTCTGGCTGATATGCACCAATGGCTTTGCGACAGCGTGGAACATGTACTCACAATATCGACCACTCGTTATCCAAATTCTATCATATATCGGGTGCCAAAAAATTGATGACGTCAACAAACACATATACTATTCAACCTGACTCGTAATATTTCATTTAACGGAATAATTCAAAATTTAGATATTTCATTTCGGTTTTTCATATTTGATATATCGTTCATTAAAATATTAGTATAGTGTTCTGAAATCGGTTCTAAGACCATGTACCTAATCAGTTCCTACCCCACTAGGTGATTGGTTACGATATTTGCAATAGATATGTTAATGATATCGAGAAACGGATAAAATAGATTGCTTTCTTGACATAAGTAAATATATTACTCATAAATGCAAACTTCCTTCATCGTAACAAATACCTGGCACGTGTTTTGAAGCATCAATGGCGGAAGGGGCAAATCCCAGTATATGTAATCATCAATATGCGATAAAGCGATGGGCTGTTACCACAAAGTCATTTTGCTACACAGAATATGTGTTCATGAATACCTCTACATTTTATTTATGCATGAACGTAACATGTAGTCACACCTGTATCTAGGAAGGCACTGGCGTGTAACTGATATACCGCGTTGATACGATATCACGTGACCCCATTATAGAACCCTGCACCGTGACGTCAGCCCAGGGCGTTGTCAAGTAACGACGTACAGGCATACCCATTAAAACTAAGGAAAAGCACCCGTAGGATTCCACATTTACATGCAAAATATGATTTACCTGTGTTATGAAATAGTAAGAAACGTGTTAGGTATCAGGTATTACGGGAACAGACCCGTAACACACCTTCTACACACATTATACATTGCTGTTTAATGATGACCAGTTTCTAAAACCTGTACCTTTAAGTTTACAGTTTATGACTGTTGAATAACATTTCAATTTGGTTGTATGATCTCAGAAATCACATGTGTGCATTGAGAAGACTGTGGTCGAATGCAGCTGCATATATCATTATATAAACAGGCTATTCTAGACATTTGACTCTTGACATTAACAGCGTTATGTACTGGTATAAAGTGCGGTACAAATACTCATATGTAGGCGTACTTGGGGGAACAACTTGTTGGTTTGGTCTAAATTAAGACTTGAAATCAGACCACTTGATCAAGGATACTGCCTAGCCGACAATCATGGCGGACGATAATCGGCAGAACTTTCGGCAATGCTTCTTCATAACCTTGTAAAATCTTGCATGTTGTCAATATTGGGAATATTCATTGAACATCTACTTGATAGGTATATATGCTCGATGATGATGGTATTCAAATGTGTTACATTTCACAATCTATACAGCCAAATGTCCTTCGTGTAGATTACATAAGTATTTACATTTCATTAGAGATCTCCACGTCAATCAGATCATCAAATATATATGTATGCATCTTCGCAATGTCCACCCTAGCTGAATCATTCGCTATGACGTTGTGTGTAGAAATGCATTAACATGAGGTACCGTTATGTTATACGTTACATAATGTAGCGCGAATACAATCATGAGCATTTTTATCAAATATGACAACTCCTTACCGGTAGTCTTACTAAATAGGAAAAATGTCTCTCAGAAACACTCCTCGCAGAAATCTACCACTTTGAATTTTACTAGCAAAGGAATTGGTTAAAGTAAAATCTATACACATTAATAAAAATACCGTCAATGTGATATCTACCCTATATATATTCGAAATGCATTAACTTACCCCTACTATGAGCAACCTCCGAAATGTAACCTTCAAGATACGGTGGCAGTGTGTGAGTACTCCCTGTCTTGCACACCCGGCCTGTTGAACCACACAGACTCAGCACACCCCTGGTAGCTCTTATACTTCCCAGCAAACAAGTATAACAAGTTTTCACAACAATGAACCCAACCTTCCGGAACATCCCGAGTAAAGCTGAATAGCTTATCCTTGCATCCAGAGCTCTGATAGGCTGGGGCGGGGAGGCTACACCCGGAGGCTCTACCGTGGGAGTTTCGATCCCAAATTAGATCTCTGTTTTCATTAAATCAATTGTTAATTGTCGTTATCCGGAAATTGTTTACAAGTCGGTGTACTTTGACTTTTCCTTGAAAGGCATATCTCGTACTGGAGTGTTTGGTTTTTGAAAGTGCCTTCAAGTTCATTGTGCAAGAGCCAAAGTATCACTATATATCGTTTAAACCCTAGTGTAACCTTTCGATATGAATTATATTTGTTTAAACATGTGTTATGTAAACCGCTCAACATGTTAGCTGCTGGAGATGTCACCAGCATCCTATTTGAACGAAATTTGGGGTTCTTTTTTACTGAATCAGTATAATATTTAATAGAAGTTGTAAGTATAAACACATTATTTGTAAATATATATAAATACATTATAAGTAAAGAATGTGCGAATATACGTGCGCATATGTGTTTGGACGTGTTTGCGCGTGTGTGTGTTCCATTATGGTACAGGCTGTTATCCATGAAGTTGTTTTCTTTATTAACCACGAATTGAATATTTGTAATAAAATATCCAAATTGTCTCGTCAGTAAACACACTTTTTAATGTTGACAATTAATTCCAGACATTGATGCAATGAAATGACAGACAATTTAATTTTGAATATTAAAGATGAAGATCTTGTTCAAAAACAGGTTTTTAGACTCCCCGTATGTGCACAATACTATTAGGGATTGACATGCAATTTACAACTGCTTACACACAGATACATGTTCGTTAGCGCCATTTAATCCCCAGACAATCAATAATTATCAGTTACCCCTCGCACCTCTTACCCTACCCTCGGGCTCTGGCACCCGGGGAACCGGTTCGACAGAGGTTCTCAAAGAATAGGCGTTAATGTAATCAGCTGTTTAGGCATCATAAATTTTCTATGGCCATTACATAAGGTTGTCGCTAATCTATATACCGCTTTTGTTACAGACAAGTAATATATTTTTCAAAAGGATTAGGTTTGTGCGAATAGAAGCTATTCACATGAATACAGTGGAAATGACTGGGGTCTAAGCCTCTGGGTTAAAACAGAAGAAATCAACAGAAATTCTTTCAGGATATCATTTTTATCAGGAACTCGAATAATGGCAGGAATTTTATGGATGTCAACTTCTTTATTGTGAAGGGTCACGACGTTTCGAAGTATATCCTTACTCCTTCATCAGGTGAAAGGAACTCGGATATTTATTTTAAGAAACAATAGCTTTGGTAGCTGAAATACTCACCGATAGCAACCCCAGATATGTTAAGGTGTTGATTTTACAGTAAAAAATATGATTTAGACGCAAGTTTTAGTTTTAATACTTCCGCATGTTAGGATTATAAGGACAGGACATTTTTGCTTTTATATTGTTAGTTTAATGTTTTTGTGTTCCCTACGCCAAGATGTGGATAGCTTTTTAAACACTATGTAAATTGTATTTGAATAGCATTCTTAATCAATCGGGGCGGTGGGGTAGCCTTGTGGTTAAAGCGTTGGCTCGTCACGCCGAAGACCCGGGTTCGAATCCCCACATGGGTACAATGTGTGAAGCCCATTTCTGGTGTCCCCCTCCGTGATGTTGCTGGAATATTGCTAAACGCGGCGTAAAACCAAACTCAGTCAGTCAGTCTTAATCAATCATTGTATGTTTGCCCTATGAGTGTCTCAAGCCGCTGAACATACTAGTTAAGAGCAAAAAGGGGGATTTTCTTCTGTGGCATTTGTGCTTATGTGCACTAAACTACGGTTATAACGAACTCAAAGAGAAGTTTCGTTATATCCGTTAGTTCGTTATAACCATAGTAAATTGCAGTGCAGTGGATCGTCTTCTCGTGTTGTTTTTAGCGAGTACCGAAGGACATAGTGTGCCATGTAGCTTATATAACTTTACAGATATGCATACCAATCTGTGTTGGGAAACGTTTAACACAATCCAAAATCAGTTGAAAACTTACTGCTGTTACTCAACAAAGATGCAATGTTTTACAACACCTTTATCAACTTTCCAGCAATATAGGGACGACGAACATAGAGGGAGGGGTGTGGGGGTGGTGGTGTTAAGTCGAATTCTCAACTAGTTTCCTAGTTTCCATTCCCCTGAAAAAAGAATAAAGCGTCATGTTCCTCCCATTGTAGAAGCTGACATCCATACAAATAAAGCCATATTAACTTATATGTAAAGACTTCTAATTGCCATTGGTGGACAAGTATAACCGTGAAGACCCGGGTCAGAATTAGTGGCAACCATGCTCATCATCACTGTTGAAGCGACTAACGGAATCGGGTGGTCAGACTCACTGACTTGGTTCACACATGTCATCGTATCCCAGTTGCGTAGATCGATGTTCATGCTGTTGATCCCTGGATTATCTGGTCCAGATCCGATTATTTACAGACCGCCGCCATACAGCTGGAATATTGCTGAGTGCGGCGTAAAACTCAACTCACTCACTCACTCACTCTTATGGATGCTAGCAATTTTATAATTGATTATGATATTAATGTGTAGTTACATCAAACATCAATACACGAATACTTTATGTCACCACTCCCATCACCTGGTACCATTACTTCTTGACAATGGGTGAGGAGAAATGGGGTAGCCCCGTGGTTAAAGCGTTCGCTCGTCACACCGAATTCCCAACATGGGTACATTAATTATGTGTGAAGCCCAATTCTGGTGTTCCCCTGCCGTGATAGTGCTGGATTATTGCTAAAAGCGGCGTAAAACCCAACTCACTCACTCACTCACTCTTGACAATAGAAGTGATGAGGTAGCCCAGTGGTTAAAGTGTTCGCTCGTCACGCCGAAGACCCAGGTTTGATTCCCAACATGGGTACAATATGTGAAGCCTAATTCTGGTGTTCCCCACAGTGTTATTGCTGGAATATTGCTGGAATATTGCTGAAACCGACCTAAGATCATACTCACGCACTCACTCTTGAGAATAATTCATAAACACATTCTCACGATATACTCGGATTCGTACAAACGACTGTGAGAAGTGGCGATGTATTATTAAACTTTAAATGGGTTTATCGGTTTTAACTGAGTCGCCCCATAGTGTTTACAGGTTGTTAGACCCTTGAAGAATTGGGTTAGAATTGGTCTAAAATTGGTAATTTCGACTATATTCTTTCTACCTTCATCTCGCTTCCAAACGGCGTGCGATTCGACATGAAAACGTCACGATATGCAGCAAGCCAGGAATTGTTATCCATATAGCTTTTTTTTTTACTTTAAGTAATTTAAAATATGATATAAAAACACACATAAAAAAACAACAACAAAAAACATATCCGAAATATGATTTTATAACATACAGACCGTCCTTTGAAAATAAACTGATCTGCGGGTTCAGACGAATATTGTTCTTTTTATTCACACCATAAATGTCCTTAGTGATGCTGAGATGTGGCACAGAATTGACGGTTTGTAATATAGGAGCTTCTGTTATTCGAGAACGACAAACACATCCAGATAGTCCTTGGATAGGTGAGCGTGTTTTGCAGCTGGACTTCTGAGAGATTCTAGGAGTTCAGTCCTGCCCTACAAATGTGACACATGCAGAAAATGGGTACCCGGTGGGATACATCAGGTGACTATTAACCTTCAAGCGCCTCACAGGCAGCTTGGGTTATCCGGGGTAATAATAATCATTTTGCGTGTTGCTTTGAGCATGTTCCTTGTACATGGGAAAGCGCATTATAAATTCACAATTATTATCACAATTCAATAGTTTAAAATACTTGCCAGATCATAACAACCTTTGATATTGTGTTTGTTTATTCTTTATCGCCACAGAGAGCAATATTCCAGCTATGTGGCGGCAGTCTGTAAACAATGGAGTCTAGACTAGACAATCCAGTGATCAACAACATGCACATCGATCTTCGCAATTGGGATACGATGGCGTGTGTTAACCAAATCAGTGAGCTGACCACCTAATCCCGTTTATCACCTCTAACGAAAACCATGGGTTACTAGTAATCGATTCTAACCCAGGTCTTCACGGGTTAATAATATCATTAAGCTAGATCAAATAATATAAATACAAGCAACAAATTTACCCCTTTCCACATCCGCAAGAAATCTCTGCTAAAATCAGACTCGATTGGACAATTCTAAACCATGTGGTGAGTGTTTGTTTATTAGAGGCCGTATTCGGCAGTAACCGATTCTGGAAACAATCGAGTCCAGACCAGACAATCCGGTGATTGACACCATGCGATCTATGACAGAGTATGTGTTTATGCATCATTATCAAATAGAGATAATTCCAGATGTCTACCATAGATCGTTTTGACAGCGTCACTAAGGCCGTGAATATTGTACCCTTGATCAAACATTTTCTGAGCAAGAGTTATATAACACAGAGGTGCAACAGATACCTGTTGAAGTACAACCGAGGCTTGTCTTACTTTACATTCTCGCCTATTATTTTGATGATAAAAATATAACATTTGTTGCCATGTCAATATCAGTGCCAATGTTTAAAATAAAAAGGTAATTTTGTATAAAAATAATGGCGACAAAACCTTTCAGATACAAAGAAGAAATATTTGACTTCCAACGTAAAAAAACGAATGAAACAAATATAACCCAATCATCCTTTCATCATATGTATTTCATATTATCTGTTGCACATTCAGAGCGAAGAAACTGCAAAACTGCAAAACTGTTTGGCACTAAGGATGACATTAACTTTCAATAGTTACTTTTTCATTTATTCCAGTAGTTCCAGTGCTTGGTTTTAACATAAAACATTTTTTTTCTAAGACAGTCTTTCATTTTATTTACCACTTTTAAAGAATGCCATATTACTTTCGCCCAAAAGTTATTTGATGTGGCTTTAATAGTAATGTGTACATATGGAGTAGATTTAAAACATTACGGCATCATTGACCAAAATGACATTTACCTTTTGTTT